TCCAGTCCCTGCAGTCACACACAGGAGATGCATCTGGACCCAGCCTGCCTGGAGCAGCTGGGGAGGGGGGCTTCAGATTCCCCTCCCCTATTGTCACAGTCACCACCCACTCCAGCACTGGGAGGTGGTCCTCTTCCCTGGGGGAGAATAGACTCCCCACTTTTCCCCATCTTTCTGAATCCCTCTTTTCCCCCAATCCTACCTGAAAGGTTGGGGTAAAGGACGCTGCTGCTGTCCCTGGAATAAGGTGCCTTCTGCTTCATTCTGAGGGAAAGCAAGCAGGTGGCTGACTGTGTCCCCAAGTGTTCATTATTTCTCTCTGTCCCCTGTGCAGGTACACTTGCGTCTTGGCTCAGATCAGCACCTCTGAGCCTCTGTACCTCTGAGTGTGTGTCCTGTGTAAAGTAGCTGTGGACATAGCTGCCATGTGTGTGCACCTCCTGCGGGATCTCCAGAAATTTAGAGCTGGAAGGCCCAACCTTTCTGTTACTGGACCGTGGACAGGGACTTGCCAGAGAATGTCCACCCAGAGCCAGGAGCAATGGCTTTCCAGGCTTATTATCGCCATGCTTATGTTAATGGGCTTGTGCCTCCCAGACTCCCTCCTACAGAGGTCAGCACTATTAAATAGGGGAGCTGTTAGAAAAACCAAAATGCCAAGAAATCAAACTCGTTCTCCAAAGTAGGTGGTCAAGGCAAACTTTCACTTCTCCCAGAAGAGCATGCTACAGAACCTAGCCAGCGCTCCTGGGCCCGTAGTCCACCTGCTTTTATTCCTAAGGCAGCGCTGCCCATTGCTTTGATTGGAGGACTCAGGGGTACAATCTCTGCGATTGGCTCATTTTAAAATTAGGGCGGGAAAGCCAGGGGCGGCAGCGCACACCTGCAATTTTCCAGCAGTTTGGGAGGCCAAGACGGGAGGATGGTGAGTTCAAAGCCAGCTTCAGAAAAGGTGAGGCGTTAAGCAATTCAGTGAGACCCTGTCCCTAAATAAAATTCAAAATAGGGCTGTGGATGTGGCTCTGTGGTTGAATATCCCTGAGTTCAATTCCCAGTACACCCCCCCCAAAAAAATAAGTAAAATGGCTACAATTTGATCCAATGAAGGCTGAGTACTATATTCTGAAGATGAACCACCAGACATTCTCTTTCTCACAAAACTGAGCAGCAAAGAAGTTGAGTAACTTACCCAAGATCACAGACAGTAAAAAGGAGAAGACAGAACTCAAGCCCACACAGTGCATTCCAGAACACCTGCCCTTAACCACTAAGCTATATGCCCCCCCCCACAAACCACTCACAGGAGTGGTGAGGGGTGGGTAAACTGAGGTCCAGAAAAGCCAAGTTCACACCATGTCTGAGAAGGATGGCTTCCTTATAGAGGACTTCAGAAGGAGTTTTGACATTTCATAAAGGAAGCGACACTCCTCACTTCCTCTGCAGGAGTGGGCAGGGTGGGGGCGGAGGGAGGAGAGGGCAGCTGTGGCTTGGCCAGGATCCAGGCAAGCCTGGGCTGTCCGAAGGAAGCCCGAATATAGCTCAAGGCGGGAGAGCCGGTCTAATGTGGTCCCCCAGGACCTCAGGAGCAGAACAGCCCCCTCCCCAACCCCACCCCTGCACCTCCAAGGGAAGGGACCTCCCATCACCAAGGAGGCGTTCTCCAGGTAAAACTGGAGCCTGGAGCCTCTAAAGCCAGAACTCAGGATCCTCTGGGAACTGAGAAGCTTAGGAAGCTTTGGAAATGTGCTTTCCAACCCCTCAGGTTATAGTGAAGAGACTGAGGTTCAGGAGCTGGGAGACACAGAGCTAGAGGCTAAGAGGAGAGCCCAGCCAGATCACCTGTCTTTCTAGGGTGTGCGTGTGTGAGTGTTTTCATGTGGCATGCACAACAGTGTAGATATGCAGAGACTAGGCCATTTGCACAGGTAAAAGGGGTTGGACTCTGAGTTTTCTCACTGACAGACCCTAGCTTTCTTGGTCCCTCTCTCTTCCTGGTATGAATCCCTTTGCCAGAAGGAAACAGGAATAATGTACTTTATACATATCCAAATCCCCGGCACCTCCTCCACATCCTGGAAAGCTCTCAGGCCCGCTTCCCAGCTCAGCATCTCCAGAGAAACCTGTGGGGTGAGGTGGCGGGAAACTCAGTTAAAGATGAAGGGTGGGGGGAGGGGCAGGGAAAGAGGGTCCACTGGGTCTCCCACTCAAGGATGTCGTGAGAACAAGGAAGTAAAAGGAGACCGGGCATCTTTCACAGCAACCCCAAGTTCTCTGCACCCAAGAGAAGAAGGGTGCCAAGGAGCTGGGAGACAGTTGTACCTGCTAAAATCTTGGGAGGGAGAGGGTTACAGGTTTCCCTCACCAACATGATGGACTGCTTTCAAAGAGGGAGTGGTCTGATTTTCTGTGTCACTCTGAACCACTGGCATAGGTTACTGGTCCCCAAAAATATGTTCACGTAAATTTAATAAAAGAATGTGCTTGGTCCTTATGTACTGATATAAAATGATCCCCCAGAAAAACAAAGCAAGTCAAAGAACAATATGTATGGTACAAGCTCATGGTGTCAATGACCCTGAGCTATGAAGAGTAGTTAGTGTTGAGGGGGACAGAAAAGAAATTGGGGAGGGGGGGAAAAGGGGGACTCTCTTTTTTTTCTATTTTTTATAATATTTTTATGTAATTCATAAAAGAGTTTTATACTTCTGTTGCTCCATGTAAAAAATATGCGCCCTGAAACCCCCTGTATGGATGGAGAAGTGAAGATATCACAGGGACAGATCACAGGGACAGAATATGGTCCAGGGGGCAGGAAACGGCTCCCAGACTGTGTCCACCTCTCTTCACTGAAAGAGACTGTGGGATTTGGGGGAAGAAGTCCTACCTAGGACAGGCACTAGGGAAAGCACCAAAATATAGTTTCCAAAAATGTAACATGCTCTAGATTACAAAGGGACATATTTAATTTCTAGAACCTATTTATTTCCCTAATGTGAGTAGACAGGAATAATAGAAAGCGGGGCGATTTTCACCTGGCTTGGAATTCTTGTATATACATCCTAGAGACCAGAATAAATTTCACAGGACCCCCGCTCTTCAGCCAGTGGGGCAGTGGGAGGGTGCCACCACCATCTTTGGGTAGGGCATATGCATGTGTACGTGATGGAGAAACTGAGGCACAGAGAACACCCAAGTCAGGGTGAGAAAGTGAGTCTCCAGCTGCCCCAGTCTCTTCTTTCTAAGCACAGAAGGCAAACTTGTCATTCACATAAGTCCCCTTCATCTCCTTTAAGATTTTGTTAGTCAGAAGTGTGTGTGTATGTGTGTGTGTGAGAGAGAGAAAGGGATTTCTCTTTTCACTCTGAATACTCCTATAATGTTTGAGTATTTTTACCATAAACACATATTTATGAATTACTTGAGTAATTATTTTAGATGTCAAAACTTTTTAAAGAGAACATTAATGGTGCTTAAAATCAAATTGACTCTCCTCTCAGCTTCCCCCAAAACCCCCCTCAAAAAAAAAATGATGGAAAAGCTGAGTGGCTGGATATGAAGCATAAACCTACTTCCTATAAACTTGTCACCTTAATTTGTCCCAATTCTGCACACACACACATCCTGCAGAACTATACTACCAGAAGTAAAGGATAGAAAATTCCCAAACTGTCCTGTTTCTCTGTTTCCATGGCTCCAGCAGATAGTACTAGTCACTAACAGATTCCCAGGTGACGCTGATGCTGTGGCTCCAGGGACCTCACTTTGGAAACTACTGGTTTAAATTATGACATTGCCTCCACCTGCTTCCCCGGGTGGTGGGTGCGAGGACTGGAGGGGATTGCCTGAGAAGCAGGTGGGTCTGCGCTGTGCCACTGCCTTGGCTTCCTGGAGTGAGGTGGAAAGATTTGGAACTCTGACTGGCTCAGCCTGCTGGGGGGCAGGTGACCTGGATAGTGCCGGGTTCTAATCCCACCTCCACCAGGGATGTGAGTCTTTCAACTCTAGTTTCTCCACCTCCATAACTGTACCTATTGTTTAAGAGAAGTAAAATGTTGTTTCTAGAATGGTTTTCGGGTTCATTGACTTCTCACCATTCTCTAAGAATGGGTCCTACCAACCAGAGGGCCGTCTGGGCTTTGAATGGTGGTTCATCAGTTGGGGTAGCAAAACTAAAAGGTCGGAACAGAATGGAACGGGAGTGCTCTGAATGCCTTAAAAAAATTTTTTTTTAGTTGTAGATGGACACAATAACTTTATTTCATTTATTTATTTTTTATAAAAGGGGCTGAGGATCGAACTTGGTGCTTCACACATGCTAGGCGAGTGCTCTACCACTGAGCCACAACCCCAGCCCCTGAGAGTGTTTCAAAGAGGACCTGGATATGTCTGGGGGGCGGGGCGGATCTAAGAGAGAAAAACCAGGAACTAGTGAGTGGATGGTTATGCAATATACTCTCCCTGCATCTCCAAATGCAACCCTCAGGGAATTTTACATTGCTTCTTAGTGTTTCGTGTAAGTAGATTTCTTAGAAAACTGAGATGAAGAATCAGGTGTGAGAGGCTAAATGGTCCCAGAGACCCATCCCACAGGAGGCAGAGCTAAAAGCAAGGGTACAGTGATCCTGGGTTTCCCTAGTCCAAAACAAATAATTCTCACCCCACTCCACCCTGATCACCAATGCCAGGTGCCAGTATCTGTTTTTCCACAGGGGCGTTGCTCACAATTGCAAGAGGACTTCATTTTTGTTTAAAGCTCCTGACTGCTTTGAAATGGATAGGAAAAGGGCTTAGAGGGTGTTTCATTGTTGGTTTTTGCCTAGAAGGAACAGTTCTCCTGAAAAGAGGAATAAGGACAGAACAGAAGTAATTGCTTCTCATAGGATAGGGGACTCTGAGAAGCCGGAGCAGCTGTGTGCATTGGGCCATCGGGAAGGGGGGACCTTTGGCTGGTGAGGAGGGTGCAGATCGGGGCAGAGGCATGGTGATAATGATGAACCCACCTGCTTCCATATCTTGGGCATTGATCACCCCAGGATGGCTTCGTTTCCATGAGTGGACCAGGTAATCTGGGATCTAGAGCAATAAACGCAGGGAGGCTTCATTGTCGTCATTGCTGAGTCCTGCCTGCTCTTGGCCTTGTTGGCCTGGGGGTGAGGTTGTCGGGAGACAGGCACAAACACAGGGAACCTGGTAACAACACAGCCTGGAAAACCCAGATAAAACCAACTCTAAGGACAGTGAGTGGAGAGAAGAAAAGTCACGGGGTTGGTTAAGAGTGGGCATGTCACTCTGACTCTTGTTCCTGGCCGGCCACCACGAGTGTGTGACCTCAGCCATGAAGGTGCCTCAGATCCTCTTTGCAAGGGACAACTCTGGGACTGTCTACAGTCACCGGCTGTCACCCCCATGGCGGCCACACCCAAAGCAGTTGCAGAGTCAGCCACCGTTTGATAAGAAGCGCAGAGCAGCCACAAGAAGCCAGCCTCAGCGTGTGATTTCCGATTCAGTTAGGCCAAAGCTGATAAGCACAGGGGGCTGCCCGTGGTGGCCACACCGCGGGGCTCCTGCCAAGTCTCAAGCCTGCAAGGGCTGAGTTCTTGATCCTCGATCACGTCCTGGATTGGTTCGTTCCCACATTCATTCATTCATTCATTCATTTGTTTGCTTTATTTAATGAGCCATGCATTCTCTGTCTCTTCTCCTGTGATGGACAGAATAATGAGTAAGACCTGGTCACTGCTCTACCAAACAGTTAATGTGGGGAGAGGACAGGATGGGGAGGGACAAGGGACAGGCAGGCATATGACCCAAGAACTCTAATTCAGAGATTCGAGACGGAATGTGATTCCAGACACATGCACAGAAAAGACAGTGTTGTAAGAGGGAGGCAGAGCCACGAGTAAATGATTTTTCAAATCGCTTCCTCTGCAAAATGAGGGGTCACAACAGAACCTAGTAAGGACCTTGCAAGAAAAAAAAAATCAGGGATTTCATAGCCCCAGAGCACCTTCGGTTTCAAGAGACAAACGCCATTCAAAGAGGACTAATCCAAAAAAAGATTAGGAACAACAAAAAGAAAAATAAAAAGTGCTGGGTGTGGTGGCACATGCCTATAATCCCTGTGGCTTGGGAGACTGAGGCAGGAGGACGAGTTAGAGGCCAGCCTCAGCAACTGAATGGGGCCCCAAGCAACTTAGTGAGAACCTGTCTTAAAATAAAAAGGGGTGGGAATGTGACTCAGTGGTTAAGTACCGATGGGCTTAATTTACAGTTATCCCCAAAAAATAAAAATAAAAAGATTATGAATTTATTGGGTCCATAGTTGAACAGTTCAAGGATAGATAAGGTGTCAGGGTTTCAGGCATAGCTGAATCCAGGCACTCAAATCTTGCTTCCATCAAGATTTTTCTTTCTCTCTCCAGAGCCATTAGTCCAAATAGGATGAGGATATAGAGTTTGTGGCTTTTTCAAGGGTCTATAAATGTGTTGGAGACTCCCCCCAAGTAATGCTTGAATTCAAAATATGACAAAAAGAAAACAGAGAAATGATGTGATAAACTAACATGTCATCTTAGAGTTGATCTGCTACCCACAACTGTCCTCGCCTAGCACTAATCTTTGATCCATTCTCTCCTTTTAACACTTTCTCCTTTGACTTCTTTTTCCTCTTCCCCTATGGGGAAGGATGGCAAGGGTGAGCCAGAAGAAGAGTCGGGTTGGGAAGAAAATCCCTGAGCCTGGATTGTCGAAAAACTGCAATACTTCTGGGAGGGGCTGAAACGAGAGGCGAAAACACAAGATTGGAGATTAAGGAGAAACTACATCAAGAAGAGTCTTGAAAGTCACACTAAGGAGAGTTTGGCCATAATCATGAAAGTAATAGGGAGCCACTGACGGTTGTAGCAGGGGTGCAACCTGATCAGATTTGCATTTTACTATCTGAAAGAGGCCCTTGGTTGTGGTATGGGGGCAGGATTAAAAGGAGACCTCCGGCTGTTGCAGTGTGTCAGAAGAAAGACCATGGTGGCCTGATAAGGCAGTGACAACCATGGGGATGGGAATCAGTGGAGGATTCATGAGATATGGACAGGACTTGATGCAGCTTAGATGCAACAGGTGAGGGGGGAAGGTGCTAGGATGACCCCCAGGTTTTGGGTTCTGAGGAAAGAAACCGAAAAGCAGCTTTAGAGGGAAAATGATGAGTTGGCTTATATCTGTCGAGTCAGAGGTGCTTGAAGGACACGTGGCTGGTGATGACCTGGGAGGGGAAAGGTTGGCAAGTCTGGAGCTCAGAAGAGAGGTCAGGGCTCCTGCGTCCCTGCCCCATCAGCACCCGAGGAGTGGATCCCTGTGGAGGTGCCCTGTCCTGCCCCCTTGCACCAGATCAGAATAAAGAAGCTCCAGTGTGGGGGGCGGGGGGTGACCACAGAGGCGGCTTCAGAAAACAGCGTCGAGCAGGATGTGTCTGGGAGGAGCTTCGAAGGCTTTGGGGAAGGGGAAGGAAGAGGAGGGACAGGGCCGGCCTGTGAGCGGCTGGCTGTTCTCTGCAGATCTATAGGCAGCAGTCAGGACTAAAGTCAGATAGAGGATCCTCCGAGACGTCCTGGTCCCTGGGGTGGTTAGTGTTGCTGGGTGCGAGGTGGGGAGCTAACCAGCTGGAGGGTTTGAGGAGTGGAGCAGCTGTGGCCAAGCCAAGGTAGGTGTTGGCTGGGGAGGGAGGGGTCTCCAGGGAGGGAGGGGTCTCCAGAGAGGGAGTGTGGAGAGACACAACTGGGCAGAGCTGGTGGAAGGGTTGGGAAAGAGGGACACAGAGGGGCGGAGAGTCCCCAGCTCTTAGGAGCCCAACTCTTGGGCTGCTGAGGCCAACCTTTCTGAAGAGTTACCCAGCCTTAGTGGTCCTTAGGACCACTCTGCCTGCTTCTGATTTTCCAATGAAGAAACACACAGGACCCTGTAAGGGCAGCTCTGCTCCCTTGACCTTGACTTCTGTATACGCCAGGAATGACAGGGCTCATTCTACATGCCCCGTGCTGTAGGGTCCCCTCTGCCCATTTGATTCTCAGCAGCAATTGGAGGTCAGATGGATACGTGTTTTAACACCCAGGTCCTAGATCAGGAGATGGAGGCTGAGAGAGGTGACTTGCTAAAGATTGAGAATGAGTGAGGACTCCAAGTCAGTCATCCGGGTCCTTGTTTGTGTCCCTTCTGGGACATCACCTGTGCGTCCCTCTCCAGGGGAATTCAGTGGCAGTCTGGCTGATCCGGCTTGATTTTTCTCTGTACATGTGGATCAACCATCTTCTCTGTGCAGCTGGTGGCAGAGCCTGACCAAGGCCCGGTCTCTGTCCTTGAGGAGATGACCACCTGGCCTGGGAGTTGAGACACGGCCATGAGAGTCCGACACAGAAATGAGACTCGCGAGGGTCCCTGGTGTGTAGGAGTGGGGGAGAGAGAGCCCCCCGGGTGTGGGATCAGGGAGGGCTCTGGGCCACCTGAGCTGAGCCTTCAGGGAGAGGAAAGGCCTGGGGTACAGAAATGGGGCAAGAGACTTTCCGGCTGACAGGGACAGAGTGCACAAACCCACAGAGGCAGGAAAGTTGGCACAGAGGTTGGGATCAGGGAACGGACAGTCAGCCACCCCATTTGGCTCCAGCGGAGTAGAGTTGGCAAAGGACTCCCAGGTGTGGGCCTGTTGTGTTCATTTATTTAGCCCTAAGTGGTTTGCAAATATCCCCCTGTTGAGTCCCCAAGACAATCCTGTGAGGGAGGTGCTCCTCTCTGCTCTCCTTTACCGATAGGGAAACGAGGGCACAGAGGCTTGAAGCAACCAGCAGCCCAAGTGGCCCTAGTGACAGAGCAGATTGGAACCCAGGCATTCTGATGTGGGATGCTAAGCCACACCTCTAGGGCCCGCAGCCTGTCCTCACACTGTCTCCAAGAGAGCTCCTCAGCTGAGTGGCAAGAGGTGAATGCCCAGCTACTGTGCCCACCATCTGGTGCCTCAGTATCCAGGCCCCTCAGATCCCACCCAAGGCCCCTGGTCCCTGGGAACAATGCTTCTCATCCCCAGGGGCTCTTCCACACCCAGGTGTTTCCTTCCCAGCCAGGGACAGACACATTTGAGGAAACAGGACTGCCGCCTTCCACAGGGGACAGCCAAGGAAACTGGGACTTGGCCTCCTGGCCCCCTGGGGCTCACTCTCCTCCCCTCACAAGGAATCCACTGATCACACCTCTAAACCCACACCTGGGCTCTGTTGTCTGGCAAGTCTGATGATGGGGAGTGTGAGGCAGCTCAGTGGGAGGCGAGGCCCCCCTGGGGAGGTGAGAGAAGCAGGTGACACAGGACCTGCGGAGTCAGAGGGTGATCGCGGGATGCCCCCTGTCTTTCTTTCTCTCGGGTTTTGGTCCTGAAGGCCTGGGCTGGGTGGTAAGTTCTTCTGTCTGAGCAGCCCGCCTGCTGCGGGCTCTGGGAGCCAGGACTGGGGAGCTGGCTTCTGCACAATCCTCCTCCTCCAAATCCTCTCTCTTTAGTTCTTCAGCCCAGAAGTGTGGTCCCCACATCTTCACACACCAACTACAGTGTGAACAGGCTCTACTTGATTCTTTCTACCCCTTCTGTGATCGTCCTTGGGCCCATTGGACCTCCATGGTAGTGACCGATTCTGTATGCAATGTCCCCGAGGACTATTCATTGCTCATCTTCTGCACTTGAGGAAGAATGCTCTCTGAATCCCAATTCATTCGTTCATTCGTTCATTCAGTCCTTGTCTCTGACCTCGCCTCTCTGTCAAGAACTGTGAAGGATCTCTGTGGCCCTACGTATGAGGAGCAGGTTAGCCAGCCACAGTTCGAGGATGCTGATGGAAGACACGAAATTCTAGGGTCAGAGACAAAGGACTTTATCACAGCCCAACAAGCAACCCGAGTGTTATGTCCATGGGTGTCTCTTGTGGCAAAGGTCCCCTGGGGGCATGTGGAGGCCAATCCAAAGGGATGTTGGGCATCGTAGCCAAGGAAACCTGAATTCAGGAAAGCTCAGGTTCCCCCCAGAGGGCTGCAGGCAAATCTGTCCAACCTTTGCCCTGAATGGAGACATTATCTCTGGACAGCAAGTAAATCTGCCCTGTGCACTCTCTCTTGCAAGGCTGTTTGCTATATAAATATTCCTGAAAAGATGGTCTTTAAAAAGTTCACAGGGTGTGCACAAACACAAACCTATTGTCCCTTTACTTTACTTTTTGCACCCTGGCCACACTGTCCCTTGGAGACACCAAGAATCCTCCCACCCCAGGACTCTACTTCTGTTGTTCCCTTTGGCGGGAACATTTCTCTGCAGATCTGGCAGGGCTCGCTCTTGTCTCCTTCAGGATTTTATTCAAATGTCATCCCCTTGGGAGACATACCTAATCACCCTTTTAAAAACTGCACACACACTTGGGGGGCAGGAAAAATGAAGGGATGTTGGTCAAAGGGTACAAAATTTCAGTTAGAATAAGGGATGAGTTGAGATGTTTTGCACAGCTTGGTGACTGTAGTCATAACAGTGTAGTTAATGATTGCGCCTAGGCGTGGTGACACACACCTGAAGTCCCACCAACCTGGGAGGCTGAAGCAGGAGGATTGCAAATTTGAATTCAACTTGGGAAACTTAGTAAGACTCTGTCTCAAAATAAAAAGGGTTGGGGACATAGTTCAGTGGTAGGGTGCCCTGGGTTCAATCCCTAGCACCACCAATAATTAATAATAATAATAATAATAATAATAATAATAATAATAATAATAATAATGTGTTGTGTGTGGTGATCTTCAACTTACAATGGTTCAACTTATGATTTTTCAACTTTACAATGGTGCTGAAACATAGCCATTCCGACCATTCTCAAGGACTCAGGGACATTTAACTACTGAGCCACACACATCCCCAGCCCTTTTTTGTATTTTATTTAGAGACAGGGTCTCGCTGAGTTACTTAGTGCCCCACTAAGTTTCTGATCCTCCTGCCTTAGCCTCCTGAGTTGCTGGGATTATAGGAGTGTGCCACTATACCCTACTGAAATTTTCTTTTGAAAACCTTTAAACTTAAAGAAAAGTTACTAGAACATTCTTTTCTTTTCTTTTCTTTTTTTGATACCAGGGATTGAACTCAGGGGCATTCGACCACTGAGCCACATCCTCAGCCCTATTTTGTAATTTTATTTAGAGACAGGGTCTCACTGAATTGCTTAGTGCCTCACCATTGCTGAGGCTGGCTTTGAACTCGTGATCCTCCTGCCTCAGCCTCCCAAGCTGCTGGGATTATAGGCGTGCACCACTCTACAACCACTTTTGTTTTTCACTTTCAATACAGTATTCAATAAATTCCATGATGTATTAATACTTTATCACAAAACAGCCTTTGTATTAGATGATTTTGCTCAATTCTAAGCTAATATAAGTGTTTTGAGGATGTTTAAGATAGGCTCGGCTGTTATGATGGTTGGTAGATTAAGTGTATTAAATGTGGTTTTGGCCTATGATATTTTTCATTTATGATGGTTTATTAGGATGTAACCTTATTGTAAATTGAGAAGCATGTATATTTCAAAATTGCTAAGAAAACAAATTTCAATGTTCTCACACTCTAAATAATGTGAAGTGAGGTGCTGGATGTGTTAATTAGCTTAGCTTAATCATTCCACATTGTGCATATATATTGTAACCTCACTTCATATCCCTATTTATTTATTTATTTATTTGTACCAGGGACTGAACGCAGTCAACCACTGAGCCACATCCCCAGCCCTATTTTGCATTTTATTTAGAGATAGGGTCTCCCTGAGTTGCTCAGTGCCTTGTTGTTGCTGAGGCTGGCTTTGAACTTGCAATTCTCTGTCTCAGGCTCCAAAGCTGCTGGGATTACAGGCTTGCGCCATCTGGCCCAGCACTTTGTATCTCTTTAATACATACAATTACAAACTGTCAACCTTACAACACAATTTTTTTTTTTTTTGGTACTAATGATTGAACCCAGGGGCTTCACTACTAAGCCACACACTCAGCCTTTTTTTTTTTAATTTTTAAGAATTTGTTCTAATTAGTTATACATGTCAGTAGAATGCATTTTGACACATGGTGCACAAATGGAGCACAACTTCTCATTCCTCTGGTTGTACATGGTGCTGAGTCACACTGGTTGTGTAATCATTCGTGTATATAGAGTAACAATGTCTGTCCCATCCCCACCGCCCCACCCCTCCCTTCACTCTCCTCTCACAATCCCTACCATTCCCCCCACACACTATAAATCACCATCTGCTTATCAGAGAAAAACATTTGACCTTTGGTTTTTTGAGATTGGCTTATTTCACTTAGCATGATATTCTCTAGTTCCATCCATTTACCTGCAAATGCCATAATTCCATTCGTCTTTAAGGCTGAGTAATAATATTCCATTGTGTGCATATACTACATTTTTTAATCCATTCTAACTGTTGCAGGGCCTCTAAGTTGGTTCCATAGTTTAGCTATCATGAATTGAGCTGCTATAAACATTGATGTGGCTGTGTCACTGTAGTATGCTGATTTTAAGTGCTTTGAGTATAAACTGAGGAATAGGATAGCTGTGTCAAATGGTAGTTCCATTCCAAGTTTTCTGAGAAATATCCATACTGCTTTCCATAGTGGTTACACCAATTTGCAATCCCACCAGAAATA